CCTCACTTATGGGAAAGAAAGTTTTTAAGAGGAGATTGGACAACCATTTGTCTGAAATAGTACAGAATTTCCTTCCTGAGCAGGGGGTTGGACTAGAAGATCTCCAAGGTCCCTTCCAATTCTGTATTATGTTCTGTTCTATCTACATTTCTGTGGAAAAGAAAGGCTCTTATTTTTCATCTTTGACTCATAACTTTCATAGTAGGCTTAAGTAAGAATCTCTTTGTGATATAACACAAAGATACCCACAACAAACAGGATTGTTGTACAGCAGACAAAGCCCCTCTTAATTTTCACTTCAACTCTCACTCGAATTCAGTTTTAATTTCCCACTAATGTTTTTCATTGCTTTTGTCTATGTGTGTGTATGTGTATGTGTATGTGTGTGCTTTTAAAAGTATCTTTTAATTTCCACACTCTTAAAAAAATTATTATAAAAGTAGGGAAATTTTGAGGTTTTTTCCCCTTATTTTTCAATTCATTTTCTAACTCATTTAATTGAAACAAATTTAGTTAAAATTAATATGTATAATCCAGTCTTTGTGTTATATCACAAAGAGATTCTTACTTAAGCCTACTATGAAAGTTATGAGTCAAAGATGAAAAATGAGAGCCTTTCTTTTCCACAGAAATGTAAATAGAACAGAACACAATACAGAATTGGAAGGGACCTTGGAGATCTTCTAGTCCAACCCCCTGTTCAGGAAGGAAATTCTGTACTATTTCAGACAAATGGTTGTCCAATCTCCTCTTAAAAACTTTCTTTCCCATAAGTGAGGTATTTTGATTATCATTTCATTATGACTGCCATTGTGACAGTGGGCATTAGCGAACAACCTAGGAGACTCTTATTAGTGAATCTTTCTTTCCACAAGGAAAGTCCACTTCAGGTTGTCCCACAGCTTCTAAGTCTACATTACAATTCTTTCATATGACGACAGAAAAACTAAAACAAAGCTTTTTGTTGCAGCCCCTGCCAAATTAAGACATATTAAATAAATAAATGTGTTCATGGTACCTTGAAGTCCTTACAAATGGATAGAAATTAATACATGGCTGCAAAATAATGCGCTACAGACTCAAAACAATTCTTAAAAACCACTTCTTTGGATGAGTATGATGTTTCTAGCCATACCCCAACTGCCAGCCACATATTCTAACATATGTTTATAATAATTAAGTCATGAATGCGACTTGATTTATTTATTAAATTGTTATATGGTACTGAATTTCTGAAAGCCAACATATAAAACAATCACACTGCAAAGTACTATTTAGTGTTCAAACATCCAATATCAAATTTTCAAGTATAGATTGCTTTCCCTGCACTATAGTTGCAAATAAATGTCAATAGGTTGCTTATTGCTTAATATCAATAAGTAACAATGTATTATTGATATAATATAAAGTTCTAAATACATAAAAAGGTCTATAATCATTTGCAGGAAAAAATTATCAGTCAAGACTGTGGCCATTAAATGCTGGCTCTTCGTAGGTCTCTCTCTCTGTTTTATATAAGACTATGTTGTGGTATTAAAGACATGGCAATAATCAAAGAGATAAATACACACAAAAGTGCCAATAAACTTCAGTACCAGGCTAGATATAACGATTGAATTGTCTGAACAAACAATCTCTGTATCTAGAGGAATGGAGAAAGTTCATAGTGAGCATTTTTTTCTTCCTGAACAGCTCCCTGCCTTGCATAATGCTAGCCTGCTCTTTTATTTTTTTTATTTTTTAATTCACACAGTATCTAGCCAGGGAGAATGATCTGTTAATTAAGAGAACAGCATCTGTAATATAAAAAGTGAGTCTTTAAAAACTTAAAAATACAAAGATGAAGCATTAATATCGTCAAGGAAATGTTTAGAATTATAGCTTTATGTAGCACTTTCTAATATTACAGCTTTTAAACATAGATTTCTGAATTATTTATGATAAACAAGTGAAACTGATTGGAAACCAATTAATGGAGAATAATAGATAGGAACTTTATATTTCAGGTTTGGATGCAAAATGTTTAAAATAGATATTTTTGTCTCTAAACGTCTTAATTTTTAGATGAACTTTTGATGTGATCCAACAGGGCTTATGTAATTATACGGCTTTATTCTGGTTTGAAGTTATCATTCAATCTTTAGTTTTATAGGATTTTTTTCTCAACTAGTTGCCCTATAGCCTGATAGAAACAGGAAAAACAAAAAATAAAAACAAAGCTTCAGGTATCATAGCAAACAATGGCTCATTAGCTGTGTTTTTGTTATGTATGGTTAAGTTGGAACAGCAATCAGGTGAATAACAAACATTTTTTCTCCTCATTATGTTTATTGTTAATGATTATTGCTGCTGTGAAACCCTCGTTCACTCTGAAGAATTAAGAATGTTATACCAGTACATTAAGAATCAACACGAAAAAAATAAAATAAAAAGTTATATTACCTACGCCTATTATAACACCTGTAAATCAGAATCCAAGGACATTTGCAACTAATTCCTGGGTTCCAAATGTTGTCCCTCTGTTTCCGTATATGTGTCTATGTGTGTTCACACGCATATGGGGATGAAGTTTCAAAATCTTATTCCACATGCCTTGTTGGCAAACTACTTTTGAATTACTAAATGCAGCTTGTCATACCTTCTAAGCTTAATATGCTATTCTATACCAGCAAGTTGAATAAGCATAACCTTGCCCATTTCCTATCCATCCACTTAGGGCATGACTAAGAACTCAGAGGACACTTTCTATCTGAGGCTTTCATTTAAACTGTGCAAATAAAAGAGAAGGAACACAAATGTGGCAGGAAAGTCAACAGCTAGGGATGCTTCCTGTTTAAGGCAGGAAGAAGAGAAGAAGGTGGAGAGGGGAAGGGAAGGAGGAGGAGGAGAAAGAGGAGGAGGAGGGGGGGAGGAGGAGGAAGAAGAAGTCTATGTCAAACTCCAGGGTCATGGGCTGGATGTGCCACGCACTGGCTAGACCCACACCCTGTTTAGCGAAGGGGAGAAAAGTCCTGATACGTCAAGTGACACCACTGCGACAATGTGAGTTTGACATCTCTGGACTATGATTCCAGAAAAAAACATGTCAGAGTAATAGATTTGTATGTTATATGGCTGTGACATAATAAACTTGGGCTTGAAAATAAGAGGCCAATTTGGCTACCTCTGATTTCCAATGGCTGGCAATGGTTCGCAGGTTTTACAACTGAGAAGACACTTCCTGGGTCCAATAGAGAACACTATTTGATAGAAGGAACCTGGAGCATGCCAAACCCTGTCAACTCAGACTGGTCAGGCAGACACCATTTGAGAGATGTTCGCTTAGATAATCAGTCTTATGGCATGTAGGGTTTTATAGGTCATAACCAGCACCTTGATTTGCATCTGAAAGCAAATTAATAACAGCACAGTTCATGAAGTATGCCTGTAATTGACCAGACTGCTACATTCTGAACCAGTTGGTGCTTCTGAATTGACTTCACAGGAAACCCCATGAATAGGGTATCTCAGTTGTCAAACTGTGACTATGACCTCCTAAGTCAGGAAATGGTGTGACTGGTACACTAGCTAGAATTATGCAAAGACCTTCCTGGCCAAGGCTGCTACTGCTCATTGAATAGCAGCTGACAGTTCAGGGAGATCTCCAGATTTTGCACTACTCTTGAATAAGAAAGTGCAATCCAAAATTAAAGATTGAATATTCCCAAATTCAAATGGCCATAATGTTTGCCTGCATTCAGTTTTATTAGGCTTCAGATAGAGTTGGTTCCTCCCTGCCCAGATCTGCGCAAGCACTGAATCAGATCTCAACAGCCTCACTTGGTTGACCTCGGGTCAGAAGATATAATGAGATATCATTAAGATAATGATGATATTGAACTGAAAAGTTGCAGATAATCCAATATTTTCCTGAAGATGTTGAACAAGAAGGGAATGTCAGACATCCAATAAAGGAGAAACCTATGGAGTAATATTTTCCCCACTCCAGCCAACACCAACTGGAACCAATCCCAAATAGAGCAGAATCACCATTAGATGATGATTAATCCATCCCTAAACCCACAAACTAAATCCAGAAGAATACCATGATCAACACTACCAATAACCATTGAAAGACCAAGGTGCATAAGAATGGATGTGGAACTTCCATCTCAGGTCTGGCCCAGATCATCTACAAGTGCAACTAAGCCTCTGTCCTTATTGAATCCCAGGCTGAACTCTACTAAAACAGATCTAGATAACCCACTTCTTCTAGAGTCCTCTGCACCTGCAGTTAGATCAACTTCTCAACAAAACTCCCCAAAAAGATATTAGAAACAGTACAATAATTGTCTTGGCTTTTTCATGAGGCGGGTACACCACCATGTCCTTCAGAGCCAAAGATACCACCTTCTCCTTCAGAGACCATCACCATCACCACCACCACCTGAACCCAACTGCAAGTCACCTCACTGGCAACCTTAAGTAATCAGGAAGCACCTAGTCCAACAAATAGGTGGCTGAATTAACCCACACCAAAAAATTTCTTTGCCAACTTCTTCAAACTCAAACTCAAACTAGATCACAAAACTGAGCCTCAGACATCTTAGACTGACCTATCTACCCAGTTACAAAAAGAGGGTGGGATGTGATTACAGCTATACTTTGATTTTTAAAAACCTCTCCCCCCCCATCTGTACAGATGCTTTTGTTTGCAGGAATCAGAAATGTGAAGCTGTCAGTTTTTCTAAACAAATGATTAAGTAGACACTCAGGATGACATTCCAATTTTTAACTGTTTTCAGATTCTTGGGATAAATGAAACTGAGCTGCACATTTTTTTTCTACATTCTTAGATGCATATAAGCCTAAGCTAAATCCACCTGTTTCTCTTAGATTTTGAAGACTGGGTTCAAGTGATGAATTACAACTGACACTTTCTCACTGCAATCAGCACACTGAACGCATCTTCTCTGGTAAAGCTGGAAGCTTATAAATATGAATGCAATGACTTTTTTTTAAAGGCCAAATAAGGATCTGGATGCCTTTGGTTCTTTATACAGAGATGAACCAAATCTGGCAAACAAATTAAAAAGAAGAAAAATCCCACACAATCATACAATTGTGACTCAAACACAAAAGGCTCAAAGTGCACAGAACGGCATTTGCTTCCAAAGAGCCGTGGCTTCCTTTCTGGAATGACTGAATAAATAGTTATTAAAGAAAATTAGGGATTTTATTCTTATTAGTATAATACTATAGAGACCCCCAGCAAAGTCACTGTTTTTGTCATTATACTATCAATGGCCCCTGATATGTCTCAGAAGACAAGCGGCGAGCACTGACCCTGAGGGTAGCTGATTACTTTTCTCCATAGGAACTAATTGCACCATCAACTAATATGGCATGAATTTAAGAGTTCATGTAGTTTCTAAACCTTCTCTTTGCATGATCCTCTCCAAAGAATAAAATCTTTTACAAACTTGATATGTGAAGATACTTTTAAACAGAATTGTCTACTTGATTACTGCTTTCAGGCTTTCCATTGGGTGTGAACCTACACATTTGATTGTAACAGTCCATAGAATTGGTCCCAAAACTGCCACACTTTCTGGAGTTTATATATGCAAAGTCATCACATGCACAGGAACGCATTTTTAGTTTTCTCCCAAATTATACTAAATAACAGGGGCTATTTTGGTTCAAGAGGACAGAGAATTTGAGAATACGAGATTCTATTCTCTGATTTGAGAATAGTATTCTCTGTCGAGATTACGACAGAGAATACGCCTCGCTGCTAATGTTGCTAAATCTCAGCAGCTCCAACCTGCATGTTCAAAAGTGAGGCCTGCTGGGAATTGGAGTTCAGCAACATTTGGATTCACCACCCCCAATGTAGGCTCTTGCTCCCTTTTTTTCTTACCTGGTCTCTTCTGTAGCAATAAAGAAACCATCGTCAGGAGCATTGAGCCAATTCTGTCTCTGTCTCTTGAGCAATGGCATAACACTTGGCATAAGGTCATTTGTGCCGACTTGTAGAGTTTTGCCATTAGTTGTATAGAAATCATGTGCCGCTTGCTGAAATCAATATAAAAGGGAGAGATATCAGCAATATATACCATCCAGTATAGAGAATTGCCTCCTTCTTTATTCAGTCTCCATTCTAATGTGGCTGGCTGGAGGTCAGTATTGGGTAGCTTGTGGGTCTAAACAAGGGTTGTCAAACTCAAGGCCCAGGGGCCAGACCCGGCCCACAGGGTGCTTAGATATGACCTGTTCGGCTGCCCTGGAAACAACAAAGGACTGGCCCATGGTGCCTCTGCCAGAAAAAAAGGAGGTTGAGAGGGCCTCGCACAGTCCTCCCAGGTCCTGTTTTTGGCCACAACTGCCTCCTGTATCTCTCTGCAAGGCAAAAATGAAGCTCCATTTTCACTGGAAGAGGGCTGCAGGAGATCATTATGGCTGAAAACAGGGCCCAGGGCACATACCCGGCCCACTGGCAGAAGGCTGCAGGAGGCCATTGTAGCCAAAAATGGAGCTCAGGAGCCCGTTTTCACTGGCAGAGTGCTCGGGCCACCACAGGTGCTCCCAATCCAAGTGACCACACCCACACCAGCTCCCGAGGTCAAACACAACTCTATTGCAGCCCTGAATCAAATCAAGTTTGACATACCTGGTCTAAACCATTTGCTCACTTTTGGGAAACCTTAATGGCATATATTCAAAAGCAGCCCAAGACCATAGTATCCTTCCTAAACTTGTAATTATCTTAATTTAAAATAGTTAATCTTAATTTGATATACTGGTAGTGCAACAAGATGTTAATCACTAAACACCTTTTCTGCTTATTGGTTTCCAACTGATCAGGTCCTATGCAGAATAGAAACAAAGTTCAGTATATAAAGGTTAAACCCATCTGTGGATAGACCAACCCTTGAATTTTTTAAACAAAATACTATTTAAAAATGTACCACTAATGGTTAAGCTGACTCTCAAAATGTTCATGTTCTAATTTTTACAATCGGCTTATCTGTAGGCGGTGCATTTTTCATGGTATTTTAGTTAAAAATTCAAGATTAAGCATATTTGCAGATGGGTTTATCTGCGAGCTTTTGTGGGTACTTTTAAGAAATATTACTATTTACAGAATGTTTATGGATAAGCCCATTCACAGATAAACCAAACCCAATTTTGGGAGTGTATTTCTTGCCTTAACTGTGACTCATACAGTAGGTTTTTATACTTAAAACAACAGGGTTGGGGGAACCTGTGAAAATCCAAATGTTTCTGACTATAATTTTGACCAGGTTGAGCAAAGCTGAATAGTTGAAATTCAAGAAATTCTAGGCAAACACAGTTTTTCTACTTTTGCCAAAATTTAAAACTGTCTATTAGACTGGGGGGAAAGTAGCATATAATTGTCTGAACTACACACTAAGTAACACTTAAGCAGAAGATGCATCCTGTAATTCAGGAGATATATATGATAAACTTTTAATACTGTAACATTCACAAATTGCAATGGATAAAGAATTGGTGATCTGCACTGTATTTTGTCCTCAGATACTTCATTTCACTTCTGGGCTCTGAAGATTAAAAAGTGACAAATGCTTTATCTCAATTTCAGTAAAAACTCCTGCAATGAAAAACAAGCTTGTTTTCTGCTGCTTCTATTTTATTAACCTTGTTTTTTCTTCTAGTAGCTTTAAATTCCATCTATTAATAATTAGACATTAACAAATGGTCCAGGTTTTGTCACAGCATTATGGTAAGAAATTTAACAACAGATGAATTTATTGTACTTGAAACAATCTGGATGTTAAATTGTTTCTCATTCTGGGTGGCAAATCTCAAAGTTCCAGTCACTATTCTGCATGTAGACAGGTTTAATTTAAAGGACACTTCCACTCATCCCAATGACCCTGCATCTTTAGCCTCCCTGCTCACATCCACACTTAACAATCAAATGATTTTTTTATCCAGCTCAAATTGCAGAATTTCCATTTTTTTTAATTCTTTCTGCCTTCCCCTCAGCTACAAAGGCCCAATAATGTAATAGTAATAAATCAGCTGTTTCCTATCACTACCATTACCATCTTCACTAGCAAACACAAGGCAAGAATGGGGCACTGATTAAGAGATGATTTCTACACTGCATTGGTCAATTGCATAAATCATAGTTATTTTTGACCATTCCCACAATAGGTGCAGGCAGGAGATTGGGGCATGGCAATACTGGCTGTAGGGTGGCGCCTTGAATTAGATCTAGTAAATACATTTTTTGACTATGAAGTGGAATTTATTTTAAAGATGTATTCAAATAAACGAGAAAGACCGAACATAAGGTCTGTCAGCCTCTGCTTTGCTGCTTGCTTTCGGCTGCCATTGAAAGGGGGAGGGGGGGCATGGTATTGGGGTGGGGAAGTATCCAGTACAGGAGTGATTGTAAAAAGGGAGTTGTTTTCACCATCTACTGCGTATGCTTCAGATAGAGGTTTTGCCGCCAAGGCCAACTGTCCAGCATACCAACCTGATGATGCTTTTTGAAGATGTCTCCCACATGACACCTGAGGGATGTGCGGATTGGACCATGGTATGGGGTTACCAGGGGGAGGAGGTTGGGTCACATATTAATATCTATGATTACATGCGCTTTTGCCTTAGATCTTGCTTTGCTTGGCTGCTATCTACTCATGACCAGTAAAAGTACTCTTAATTCTGCAAAATTGACATTATTAGGAAGAGTAAGAAATAAAAGACAGAAAGGGTGAGAGGAAATACAGGAATCTTAATATAAAGAGAACATCATCAGATACCTGAGTATTGACTGGTCTCTCCAAAGCCACTGGAAAGCATATCTGTCAATTGACTCACATATAATCAATTAAATCCTGAGCTAAGGCTTTAAGTACTTAAATATGATGTTCTACAGCTGTTTTGGCAGCCTTTGTGTATTATTGATGCCAAACTGCTCTCCTTTTATGCTGAAGGCATAGAGAGAGGAAGGACTCTTAAAATCCATCCACCTCATTTTTGGGCCTTTCCATAAAAAGCAATTTTGCAGCTACAACCTTCAGAATGCTTTCCCCAGGCAGTTTTGCTCTCTTATTTACAGAGGACTGAAAGGAACATATCCATACATCATGCTTTTAAGGATTTTATTTTCTCCCAATGATGAAAATTATATCCTGGCAGGAGTTATGCAAGTCCAACTTAAGAAAACACACGCTTCAGAAATATTTGGCCAAAAGGAAAAAATAATAATGGTTCAGATTAGCACAAACAATTCCATACTGAGTTTTACTACCTGACAGATTCCAAATTAACTGGGCTTTTTAAAATATTGCTTGCATTGTATGTGTAAAATCTGAGATAAAGGGCTGTGATTTAAAGGCTGGTAGACTTTTTCTGATATACTGTAGGGTATAGGAACACATAGTCCATTTCAAAGCCGTTTTGTCTTTTATATGACCTGACTTCTTTAGAAGGATCTGGTGCCTCTGATCTTCCCAGATATTCCCATGTATATATATATATTCCTTTGGGCCATCATGTCTCACCATGGAGGTGAAACCCTGAAGGAAGAGACGCCACTGGCAGAGATTTCATTAGCCTGGATTTTAAAACAAAGTGGCCGTATTTCCTAAAGTTAGTTTAATACACAGCCTAGAATTTATCCTTCAACTTGAACATATTGCTGAATTTCTCCATTGCCAAATCCACAAAAAAGGTATAGACAAGTTTTAAAATATGTATTTGAAGAAGAAATATTTTTAAAAATGCATATTGTTGAGAAAATGCATTAAATATATATTCAGAAATTCAAAATGCAATTTGGCAGATGAACAGAACTCTGTCCAGTACAGGCTTGTAATGAGGAAGCAGACAGGAAACAGATGGATCCAACCAGTCAGCCTGCCAGCCATCCTACATGAGAAGCAAATTGTCTTTCCCTTGCCTCTCAAATCTTTGATACTGGAAAAATCTCAAAGGGGCTGACCTTTTCTGTTTCATGCTTATTTTCTGGAAATATGATATGTCTATCTAGAGTGAAAAGAGGTTGAAGAGGAGGGGAAAAAACAGAAGTCCTGTATAAAATTTTCCATGAAATTCTTGAAGCGCCAAAGCTTTTCTTTGTGCATAAAAACAGTATATACTGTATAAACAAGTTCTTATCAGGAGATCATAAAGTTGATACACTTTTGAGAAGGTTATTGGACAACCTAACTTCTAGATAACAGAAAGGAATATTTCAGATGTTGAACAGAGATCAGGAGACCTATCTCAACAAAGGCAATCTTTAAAATAGATGGCCATTTAGAACTTTAAAATGTAAGGATCAGCACTTTGATCTAGTGGAAAACATAGGCAACCAGTATAGATTGAGTAATTGAGTCACACTCTTATTATTAGCATTTGTACTAGCTAAGGTGCTTAGAAGAATAGATCCACATAGATCCACCCATGTTTGGGTGTGTGTTGTGTGTATGAACAGAACATAAATTTAACTGGGAATTTTGCTATTTTCAAACCACTAGGTTTTGTTTTTCTTTATTAAGTCTGCCTCTTTATTTCTATGTTGGAGGGAACTCTTTGTTTCATTCCTAAACTCTATGTCCTATAAGGGAAAAGCTAGTTGGATGGTTCTTACAGTTTCTGTTCAGTCATCCAGAGAAAAGGAGCAGGACTGAAATTGAAAGTGATCAGCTAACATGCAAAGTGACAAGCTATTGCATTTTATTTTATATAAGAGCCAAGGTGGCGCAGTGGTTAAATGCAGCACTGCAGGCTACTGCTAGATCAGCAGGTCAGCGGTTCAAATCTCACCGGCTCAGGGTTGACTCAGCCTTCCATCCTTCCGAGGTGGGTAAAATGAGGACCCAGATTGTTGGGGGCAATATGCTGACTCTCTGTAAACCGCTTAGAGAGGCCTGAAAGGCCTATGAAGCGGTATATAAGTCTACTGCTATTGCTATTGCTATTGCTATATGTAATTTCTTTCACTTTTGTATGGAAGAATGAGTTGCTTTTTCTTGTTCAGATATTCAGTTTCTTCAAACAAAGATTAACCTTCCTTTTTGATGAACATTGTACACAAAAGGAAGATATTGTTAATACACATACTGTACTGTAATTGATGGTGATACAGTAAAAAAGAGGGATTAGAATAAATCTAGGGTGCTATAGAAAATGATTAGCTTGATTCAAGTCAATTTTAATAATATTCAGGCAGAGTAACCTTCCTATGCTTGATTCCTTTCACATTAGTCAAAATAGAAATTTCAGTATGTTGTCTAGAATTTCTGGTAGCTGTAGTCCCAAAACCTTTGGAGAGTACCAGTATAAGGGAGAATGATTAAAAGGAAAAACACTGAAAGCAATGCTGAACATATATTTGGCTTTCTAAATATCTCTGACAAGTGTATGAAACCACCACTTAACATAGTCCAAATGCCTGTTGACAGATATCTAGATATTGCCTTGCAGTTTTCATTTTGTTACAAAGTCCCTTATGAATTGCCTCTAGTTTGTTTTTGATTGATGGCCTGTAATATGCATATGTCATCTCTGGGACTTAACTGTGATAAAAATCCATCCTTCCAGCTTTCCATCCATTGTACATTCTTGCTTTTCTCAGCTTTTTCATTAAAAAGCTATTGGTGATGCCAATTTTTCCCTAATGGAACTTCAGTAGTTTTGTTTTTAGTTCATTTTGTTTCGGTTTTCCAGACTTGTAGCATAATTTCTCCTATGCATAATTCTTTCCATGAATAAAATTATGAGATGAGGAAGTACGTAGAATATATTCAAAGAGAAACACTAAAATATTCTATTCTGTAGGTTTCTCTCTTAATCTGTTCCAACAATTTATAGACAAAGGATTTGATCTTCCTCCCTCCCTCCCTGTTTCTCTCCTTCCTCCCTGCCTCCTTCCTCCCTCCTCCCTCCTCTTCCTCTCTCCCACCCATCCACCCCTCCTTTCCTTTATTTCTTCCTTCTTTCCTTCCAACTTAAAAAAATAATTATTCACAATTACATTCTACCCATGCTACCTGGCAGGAGAAGCAGGCTATGGGTCTTGTCCACAAAGGAATGCCATCAGGGACACAGGAAAAGAATGTTTTCTGCCTTGACTTTTCTGTCACTTCTTTGGAACATCACCCTCCCAAAAACTAAACATTGGCCCTACCTCTCTGGCCTTTAGGATGGCATGACTATGCCATTGAATTTCAGGGTCCAGTGGTAGTGGTAAAGCTCTTCAGTGGTTGGACTGAATGAGGTGTGTGTCCTGTTAGTTTAGTTTCAGTAGTGATTTTGGTAGGGATTTATATTTTTTCTGTTTATTTACCTTTTATAGTTCTTGATGTTGTTTTTAATCGTTGCAAGCCACCCAACATCCCAGAATGTACTGTATGCAAGATGGGTGGTTCTACAATACTAATAAATGAATATTTTTAAAGAATAGGTACAAATGTTATGGTTGCACTCGTAGTCACTGTCACCTGAGCATAATCCTAGCTGAATTCAGAGTTTTCTAAATAACTCTGCATGAGGTTTCACTGGATATTTTGCATTTCAAACAGGTTAGAATGAAAAAAAATGAATACTTACCATTTTAGTTCCATGTGCATAACTGGAGAGTCCTAAAATATACATACACAGAACCAATTAGCCCCAAATTAGCATTTGCTTTTGAAAGTATTATTTTTCTTACAATCTACTTGAAAGCCAATCAAGGGATGAAAACTGTAGAATTGCAGCACTTTCATAAGTGGCCAAAGTGTCTTCCTTCTACATAAAAGTAGCCCTCAAGTATAAAACCCAGGATAGCAGGTATCGTTGATTAGATCTGAGAAGCGGTTATACTGAACATAGAACAAATGAGTTTTCCTTACTACAATGGGCTGAATAGGAACATGAAACTAATAGGTAGATGTTGAAATATTACTGCTTGATAGTAGAACAGAGAAATACATCATGAACAATTAAGAAATTTAAGTAGAAGCTGGATGGGGCTTGCTTTCTGCCTCTCTCCCGCCACACTGAATCCTACGAAGTACCATGTAAATAATAATTCAAAGACTTCCAAAGAAAACACTTCGTAAATACACAAGATATACTTACAAGATCTCTGGACTGAGCAAGGGCACTTGCTTTATAACTTTCAAAAAGCCTTTCAACCCTAAAAGTATATTCTTCTCCTGCTCTATTATCACAATACATCATTGCTTATGTTACGTTTTTGCTGCTTTGCCTTTTAATTAATACCAATTTCATTATTCTGCACTCTTCCATTAAGGGCATCAGAAATGTGCTTATTCATTACTACTCCATTCAGCCCTTACTTCAACTAAAATGAACACATTCCACAGACTTCTTGTACTCATGTCTATCTGCTTTATGTCTGCTTCATATCTCACTTTATATATCAAGAAGTAGGCGTAGCCTTATGTTCCCGCATAAGGATTGTTTTTGCTAGAGTACATTACATCCACTGATAATTATCTGAGCCATAAATATGCTGGGATTATTCCATCTAAAGCGCCTTTTAGGATAAGTGTATTTTAAAAGTTGTATATTCATTTTTCAATTGGATGGATTCCTCTCTGTTTCTCATTACTTTTTAAGGAAAAAAAATAGCTTGACATTAAATGAAGGAGAATAGAAACACAAGGTAAGCGTAGAAGTGAAAGGAGCATCCAAGTATCCATGCTGAAAAAGGCTAATTATTAGAAAGGTCAGAACCTGAAATCATCCTTGCTCCTGGCCAAACTGAACAACTGAAAAGAACCAAGATAGATACTGAAGTTGAAGTCCACACATCTTAAAGTTGCCAAGGTTGAGAAAACTGATCTACCCTGTTACTTTAAAGGGCCCACTTGTCCACTTGTCCTAAAAATAGTTGCAATCCGAATATTTAGCTATGCTCTAGCTGAGTAGAATAGTCCACCTGATCTTATGAAGCAATAATTTATCAATTTGTCTTGAATAAATATATATTGACAGTTAATAATCATATTTTTCCTGAAGTTTTGTCTGTGTCCTTTCTTTTTTTCCCCTATATATAAACACATGGCTACTTTGACAATTTTGTGTCAAGTGAACATTTAGCATGGCTAAATGACTAATCAATTTTGCTAAAAGTAGAACGATCACTTGGGGAAACATGACTAGAAATTAAAGTGCCTCGTTGTACATTTTTTTTAAAAAGAAGAAATGGTACAAAACATTATGCAAGAATACATTGGTTTCCAAGATTTCAGTAAAACAGCTGAAGAAAAATAGTATGTATCCCAAATGAAGAATATAGTATGCTAAAATTATATAGTACTACTGGATCCCAACTGGGGCATTAAAAACACTCACAAAATTAGAAGCACATGAAGAACAGCAGGGGAAGGAGTGTGTGTTCTGCTCCTTCACTGCTGAGATGAAGAATGAATTAGGAATTAGGGCAGCAGGGAGTATTTGACTCATGTAGGTTCTTGATGCAATTTAGAATATTGCCTCCCCAGGATTCTGAATCACAGAGTGGGACCTAATAATAAATAAGTAGAACGCTTCCCCATTGAGATGCTCACTTTCAGATACAAAGAGATTGATAGGTCATGCCACATAATGATGGAACTAGTACGTTCCTCCCCATTCTCTCCCTTGCAGTTCTGTCTACAGGGGGATGTAATGTGGTTGTTATCTATTTGTTTTGTTACTATTTTAACCCCAGGTTAATTTTTTTCTTAAAGTCAGGAGGTGATAATCACCCTGTGTACTTAGAAATGTGTAATGGTGATCAAAGACGAAACTTACTTAACTGAAAGAAAAACATTAATACATTTAGGGTGCCTGTTTGCCTCTATATGATAGATAATGTTTGAGAGGAATATATATTATATTATTTTTATTTAATTTATCATTTTTATTTTCAATTTCAGGTAAGAAATTGTTAGTGCACAGAGTTAAGATCATATGCATTTTCATATCAAATTGAGGCTGCACGTAAATAAAACGTGGGAATATGAAAAATTCCACCATTCTCCAATAAACTAATTCTAAAGATTAGCTCCTTCCAGCAACTATCATGGTAATTATTCATCATAAAAAAACGTGGTGGCTCAGGGTTGTACATTTGACTTTTTTAAAATTTTAAGCAGATGAACTATGAAATAAACATAGATTACAGGGATAAATATCAGGTGTTCTCCTTATGCTAATTGGGAAGAATAAGAGTCAGGAAAGAGAAAACAAACTGAATGGCTTTGTGGGAGTTCTTTTAAATTTCTTCATTCCACACTTTCTACCTTAAAATATAAATATATTAGTTCTTCAAACCAAGGATCCTTGAAAGAAAAGCAGGGTGAGAAAAGATGATATATGTTGATAGCTGGGTCCTCATTTGCAGGACAGCTGTTATAAATCAGATTATAAAGCAGCATGTTACCTAAATGGTATGTTTTATATGATACTAAACTAGGGTTTCCTTGCCATATTAAGCCATGATTTAATCATGACTTAGGGAAATACAATTGTTTAAGCTCACAGATCACATTAAATTATAAATTTGGTTTATCCATAATAGCTAGGTTCAAAATCCACTTAAATTCTAGATTAATTTAAACCTTGTGCCTATCTGCAGGGGGAATTATGATAAAACTTTCTTGCTGAAAGTTAGTAGGTTTATGGCACATAGGAGAGACTGCTTGAAACGTTCATGTGCATGTAACACATGTGAGTTTCATGATGGAAAAAAAGTGAGAGAGAAATCTACCCAAATTAATTAAAAGAGGGAAAACCCATAATCTTGTCTCCAACAGTCATAAATCTCAAGGCCACAACCAGGATGCAATGAATTCTATCATTCTGACATGTTTGACACTCGGCATTGGCAATCTGGTCTCAGATATCAGCATCACCCATAGCAAACACATACTATTTTGAGCATCAGTATTCTTTACATATAGTAGAATAAATCAGTATGATGGCCTTCAGGTGTTCAGATTGGTATCACTGCTTTCCAAAAGCTAACTGATGAGATGAAAATTGATGTGGTGTAAATTTAATCTAGGAATTTATTCTTGATTTTTCCATCAAATCAATCAAATAAGTGAAGCATTTTGTTTAGAGGAAAAGTCTAACATATCAAGGACTGAAAAAGTTGGATAATCTTTCTAAAGAAAGACTTTTAATGTAGTTGGTTCCTATCTTCCACAATCATAACATTTCAGAACTGCAATTACAGGTAGTTCTCAATTTACAACAGTTCTTTCAGTGACTGTTCAAAATTACAACAGCACTGAAAAATTTGACTAATAACCCTTTTTACAGTTACAACATTTGCACCATCCCCCTGGTTATATGATCAAAATTTAGATGCTTGGGAACATATTTATGACTGTTGTTGGGTTCGAAGTTAACATGATCACCTTTTGTGACCTTTCAACAAACCAAGTCATTGGGGAAGTCAGATTTACTTAACAACCGTGTTAACTGCAGTGATTCACTTACAACAGTGGCAAGAAAGGTAATAAAATGGGGGAAAACTCACTTAACAAATGTCTCACTTAATAACAGAAATTGTGGACTCAATTGTGGTTATAAGTCAAGGACTAT